TAATAAACCTCTTCAAAGGGTTGCAAATTACCTGTCTGGTTATCGGTTATACAAATGAAATAGACCTTAACAGTAAAAATGGCTGAATTTGCTTTGTTATTTAAGGTCAGTGAAAACCCAGCAAAACCCCCACCTATAAAACACAAGTTTTAAAAGTGATATTACTGTTACTATTTTAACAAAGCAAGAGACACTTCAATGATTCTTTTATACATGGTTTCATTCATCAATAACAAGAAATTGCTTAACCAGTAAAACAATGAAAAAACCCACTGTTTTCCTAAGGTATAGAGATGCATATAAGATATTTGTAAGTATACAGGATACATAGTACATATTTATAATGCTGAGCATTAGTGAAATTCCTTACTCAAAAGTCGAAGTGGAAGGAATACTGGTTGTACGTATTACCAACATTTATGTCCAATCCTGCTGAAAGTTCACATTTTACAACTGTATTTCTTTTTTAAAAACTAAAATATATGAGCTCTGACCAAAATAATCTAAACTGACATTCTCCCCCCAATTTATTTTGTGCAATGGATGTTCAGAATACTCATACTGATTTACTTTTCTCTTTTATCAATGAATATTTTATGCTGTTCAATGCCTTTGTAGCTCTGCAGCCTCTGACGATGCCTCAGGAAAGACAGTATTTGCTTTCTGACAGTTGAGAAAATTTCAAAATTTTGCTTAGCTTACTAATGCATTAATTTAGCTGACCTGAGGAAACTGTATCCTGTCTTTCCTGTTTTTCCTCTGCGAACACAGAAAAAGAAAAATCTCTACCTATAAAAAGCCCACATTTTCATAACCGCCGTAGACCTATACAAGCTATATGAAATCATATACTCCTTAAGACTTTTAGTGCACGAATGCAGAAGAAAAATATGTACAAGCATCATAAACACCATCCTTTATTTTGCCATTTCCAAGTACTTAATGAGCTCTGCAAAGATAATGAAAACCTATTTTTTAGGAAACCAGATTTTACAGGTGATGTCTCTGGTCCTTTCATAATTGCAAGAGGTTACTGGTTCTCTTGTAAAGCTGCAACTTGTTTTTGCATTTACTGCACTAAGACATTGAAATTTTATATGTTTAGAACAGCTACTTGTGGTATCTATTTAAATGCAGCATATCCTGGAATATGGATTAATATATTTTATCTAGAAAAAATCCTTTATTTAATAAAATAAGTTGATTTTAAGAATGGAAAAGTTCTAAACTGTGCTTTTTGTTAAAACTGCGAATTTCTCCAGATCCGCTGGTATAAATCAGATCAAAGGCCCAACCTACAGGACATAATACATCATAAATTAATTTATGGAAGAGATGATTCCTTCATTGTTTATCCTGCCTCTAATTCTGTCAGAATTTTCTGAGGAAGTGAAAAGGTCAAACGTGATAATTTAATGTATAACATGTTCTCCTTCATCATATCAAATCAGATCAAGAGACTATTTATTTAATTTACAGTACTATTAATGTAAATAGTATATTATGTCCTCCAGATCAAATTTTGTCCTCATTTTCACCAACGAATGTAGACAGACTTACTGTTTTAAGTGCAGAATTTGCAACAGTTAGGCATCTCTCCTATTATATGTATTTAAGAACAGAAAAGCATTTCAAAAGTGTACATCATCTGAAATTTTTGAAAGATATGTTTAAATACACTCTCCTGACCAGTTTGTCTCAGTTTGTATTTATGCACCAAAACCAGATGCTTATTTACATACAATCTAGACACATACTTAAGAAAGTAAAGATCACATTGTTTCTGAGTACTGCCCGTTTGAGGAATTATAGTTAAAGCCACAGGTGCTTTGCTGCAGCACTGAAGCCCCCAACTCTTTAGCTGCAGATCTTTGTCAGGGAAGTGCAACTGCATGGATGTCTTGTTTAAAAGTCATCCTACCCAGAACACTGACTGACAGGCCGTCTGAACGCTTGTCTTCTTTAATATGTCGGACGTCCCCTTACAGAGTATTTATAATATATGCCTCAAAACTTTTAATACTTAACTACTCCTAGGGCATGAAGACAGAAACAGTTCCCAGCTCAATCCCACATCTACCCATTGAGTAAAAGCCACTGAGGGACACCAGCAAAGCCTCTCTCTCAACTCAGTATAGCTTCATCTCATTTATAATCCCCATGCATTTCTCCTGAATAAACTAAACAAGGCAAGAAATGGATCTACAACTGGGAGTCTATCAGACACTAAATTGTGAAATACAAATCACGAATCTTAAGGTCTCTAAACCAGTTTCATAATGATGAAGTCACATAAACACACATGCACTGAATGGCAAATGACAGCTCTTAAAGATTTATGTTTACTCATGAAAATGAGATTAATGAAAAAAAAATGTATTAACTAAACAGAATGCCACAGATTATTAAATAGTATAGTTTTCTTTGTAAAAACATACTAAGAGGAAAAAGACCTCAGGCAATAACATGCAGTGGACTAATTAAAAAAAGAAAGTAGGCCATGTTACAAAAATCATACTGTTTAATCAGGCCATGAAAGCAATGCAAAGGGAGCAGCAGAATACTGCAAGTTGTTGAGTCAGAGCTTTTAATTTCAGTAAGGGGCACACAGATCAAAGAAGGATTAGATTCTATCATAGTATGACACTGATGGCATGAATATGAAGAAAGTAGGGCATTTACACACACTCTCTCACTTTGGTGCTAAAATTCTAATACCATTTCACAATTTAAAGGAACTGTGAAAAGCATCTCTTGGCTGATTACCAAGTCTCCAAGTTAAATTACTGTCTTCACTGCTGAGCTTGTCATACTCCATCGAAGAAGAGAAATACTTTTTTTAATAGGTAAATGTCTTAATTCAAGGTGTCAGCTAACACATTTAAAACCTTCTCCCACATTTCTGCCACACTCACATTCAGACAAACTATGCTTTGCTTTATGTGGAATAAATAAATCCATGCTTCTCTCATGACTTCTGGGACCGCAATGTTTAGAGATACTGGGGAGGGAAAAGGAAGGCAAGAAAGCAGTGCTCTGGTATACCAACAAAATCTAGACAGACTGGCCACAGCTTGATGAAAGCCAAAACCCAGCTGCCCAGATGGGTGCTTAGCTCTAAGACAGTTTGGATCCATCCCACAGCTAGAGTAACACAGGCCTAAGGCTGCTGGAAAGCGCTACTAGGGTATGTATGTATGAATTGAAAACAAAAAATGGTTTCAATTAAAGTTATGAACATATTTTAAACTGAAAGACAAAAAGGTTCAGAAGTTTTCCACTGTTGTTATTAAGAAACATAAATAGTTCAGCAGCGAGGTGGAAGAACCATCTGCAAGACAATGAGGAGTTTTACAGCTTTTGTCTCCATGAAGTGTTTCGAAAGTGAAAACTTGAAAAAAATCAAAACAGCTTTATGCATAAAGTGCTCTTTTACATAATAGTTGAAAAGTAGTTATAGAAAAGCTATCACAACTTTAGGCATCACATCAGTTACCGGAGAGCCCAAAACATAAAAGAAATCTTCAGTCAGACGTTCAGTTTGCAACATGTGAATCCTTCTAGCTTATGAGAACAGAGAGCAAGATTGTGTACTCTAAACAATTCAGCCTAGAAAGGTACTGCTCCATCTTCTACAGCAGGGATGGTCTAAGTCATGATCTGAAGTTATCTGACAAACCTGAGCAAAGGTCTGAGCAAGCCACCTAACTAGAATAGGCTACACTTAATAGGGAACCTGAACCTGGTAAACCTCTCCCTGTGAGACAGTTCCTATAAGAACTTTGCTCTGTGAGAAAGACAGTATGAAAACACAGTGATAAATAGCTAACATCAGGAACTATTTTGGATAGTTAGAATTGCATATGAAAATTATCGTAACTGATTTTTCTGTATATGATTTCCAATATATCTTGTTTTGACCTGTATAATTAAAATGTTTAATACTTCTGTGTGGACTTTGTGGCTAAAAACAATAATGCAAACAGAAGACGGAACCAGACATTTCTGGCTTGGCTCGAAATGAGCCAAGTCTGACTGAGTTCTCTTTTTATCTACACATGCCTAGCTTCCACAATTACAAGAGGTTAAGCTGGTGCAGATTACATCATTATTTTTATACATTCAGCATTGAATGATATAGTTGATTATATATATGTGTGTGTGTACACACACACTAATGTAATGATACTTTTCATTTATGGAAAGACTATAAATGTAAAAGATTTCAGAGCTCCCAGACTTTATTAAAAAATGAATCCTGAAGAAAGTTCAGCATACAAACACGAATCTCCAGGGACACCTATTTTACCTTGTTATGCCAACCATTCTCTTAAACAGTGAAATCAACATGTGTGCAGCCATGAATAACATTCAAATGTTTTCTTTTTTTTTTTCACCTAACTTTAAAAATTATGTGTTAGTAACTCACAGAAGTTTGATGAATAATTTAAATCAGTCTTCAGGAAAGAAAAAAATCTAAACATCAATATCTCCCTACTCTGTAAAACTGCATTCAGAATACTGGATACTAGTGTACTTTGTCCCCTCAGCTCATCCACTTTCTTATTTCTGTTATTTTTTTAAATAAAATTGCAATATACACCCTAATCTTTAAGTCAAAGGAATTAAGTTCACTACATTAGGGTCTGTTCTAGCAACGAATCTACACATTTTGTCCTCCTTTCCACCACCTTTTTTGTCGCTTTGCTATGTAACAGTAACTGCACAAATAGCTACACTAAGAACATTTCTTATATTTAGCTGTATTCTCATTCAACACAAAATAGATAGGTTTCTTTGAATCTTCCATGGAGCAGACCAGCTTTGCCATATTTGAAGACTGATCCCTTCCTCCACCCTTGATCCCTAGAGTGCTTCTCGCTCTGCTGGGAGCAGTTGTGGATGACTGCTGGTACACACATTTGGAAAACACCTGTGACCAGGTAAGTGAACTTACCTTTTCTTTAAAACTGGTGGTTTTTTTGCTGATGTTTGCTTACCTCATTGTCCGACTCCACAAGTACTTGATCATATTCACTAAGAGCTACTAGGAACATGATAGATGTGACGTTTTCAAAGCAATGTATCCATTTTCTTCTTTCTGAACGTTGACCTCCTACATCCACCATTCTGCAAAATTAACATCCACATCAACTCCATGAATACCTTAACAGACAAACACATAAGCATACACAAATGACAAAACTCAAGAATTTAGCTGAAAACATAGTTTGGTTTGTTTTTCTAAATGATTTTTTTCATTGATATTTACTGGAATCTGTTTTAAGTAGACAGTTAATTATACTTGCTTTTAAGTCTGATGTGTTTTCTGTATTTTAATTATTGTCAGTCTCAAAATCCTCAGATTTCTGAGATACAGGGGGCTAATATGCCATGATTTGGCAACAGATGCCCTGTGTATTCCACAGGAACAGATGTGAACACAATAGACTTGGTGGTCTGCCTTTCTCCCCCCTAACATTAATCAAGTAAAAATTCCCAACTTGTTAAAGCTGCCCCATTTTAAGAGGACAAATAGAATACAGTATTTATCTACCAAAATTTTTAATAGCCAAAATTAAAACTCCCATTTACTCAGTGTATTCCCACTTCATCCTGTGTCTCAGTGTAACTAAACACAGCTGTCTAACTTGCAATTGCAATTCGATAGTATTTTTTACACAACCGTACTTGCACTCAAGTGGGATAATTTCTCTCTGAAGGAGAGTAACTTCTTTCTAAAAACTGACTACACAAGCGGTAAATTTGTATTGCATAATTTATGTGAATTATGAGGACAAGACTGTATTTTCAGATTATTATTCATTCTGAAAATTTGGTATATGTTACTGAAAAGATGAATTGCAGGTTTTCTATCAGTAATAATTATCTTCAGAAAAAGACAAACCTATTTGTCTTTCATCCTTCTGGCATTTTTAACATCAGCTCCTTATTATTGTGGAAAATTACATGAAAATATAATGACCAAGCTCAAATTTTAAAAACAGAGTACTTGCTTTTTGTTCACTTTCAACCAATATGCTGTACATTGTATTACTAATGTAAAAAGAAACAAAAGGAACAAAAGCAAGTGGGTGTTAGAACTTTTCTTCTACCTGAAAATGACGCTTTGTAAATCAAATGGGTATTCAATAATCCCTGTTGTTGGGACTCGAACTCTGAGCACATCCTGCTGAGTTGGCAGATAGGTGGAATCTGCTATGCGGTCCAAGTCGTTAAGATAGCTACAGACAGGGAAAAACAAAAAGAATGCAACACAGTGACACCATCATCCCACTGAGGAAAACAGAAAGGATGACTTGGGAATGCAAATGGGCTGTGGGGTAGGGAGATATACAACAGAAAGAAGACCATTATCAGTGCCACATCCTCCCTTCCTGTACACTTTCATACCTTCAAGTAAGTTCTACAGAAGGGTAGTATAATTATTCTGGGTTTTTTTCACACAAGTTTACTTGGCTCTCACATGTAAATTCACTGAACATTCAAAGTTTACAATTACTTAATTCTAGGCAATTTAGAGACAAATAATACTATGAAATGTGTGAGAAAGAAAACTGCACAGTTCTGTTTGAATATGTAACATATTTCTTGATATTAATTCTGCAGTGTCTACACAGATACATGGATAGCCAAACATCAATCTCCCAAGGCACAATGAACTGTGATAGACTAGATCACTATCAGTTATAAAATTATAGGAGGGATAATGCTACTGTTTGGAGATTAAATGTAACAAAAAAAATAAAAAAAGAAAACTGCACCCACTGACAAATTAGAAAACTCTCTGGATCTTGTTATTAGAAGGCGCACTGATTATTTGGTAGGATCTCTGGCACCTGCAAGTCCTGCATTCACACTGAAACTTCTGATTAAGTCAATAAGCTTACAGTACATGAAATACACCTCAGTCGGTTAGCAAATAACCTGAAATTGCTAAAAAATTGCTCATTAAAGTTCACTAACAACAACACAAAATTCTTCTGCTATTGCTTAATGGTGGGTTTCAACCATAAATCACCAGTGTACTGGAGGTTTTACTTAATTCTTGCAAAAAGCGATGCTTAAAAAAAAAAAAAAAAGTGTACCAATATGTGTATAACAGCTTGTTTGGGTCCAGGAGCTGGACAACTCACGAAAGCAGTGCACCAGGTATTTTGGGCTCTCCCTCTGACAGATATCTGGGAGAAAGACTGCTGCAGGAAATTAAGTTCTAGGGCATTTGGTTAGTTCCCAGCACAAGAATGACCTAGAGTTAGCCACTGAGAAGTTAAATTAACCTACGGATGCCCTCATTCATTTTAGGGGAGGAGAGCAATGGTCTTGTAATTTATCGAATGATGATGAAGTATGTCCTGGGTTGAGTGAGTGGTGGAGTTTTTTGGTGGCAGGGGAGGGGGCTATCGGGGCGGCCCCCTGTGAGAAGCTTCTCGAAGCTCCTGCAGCTCCAAGCCAGCTCCACTTCTGTTTGGGAAATTGAGCCAATCGGCTGCGCCTCTGCGATAATGTATTTAAGAAGGGACGTGGTGATGGGCAGTCGGACTTGTGAGGAGGAGTTGATGCAGCTGCGTGAACACCAAGGTCAGTGGAGGAACGGAGGAAGAAAGGAGAGGGGAGGCGTTCCGGAGCAGAGACCCCCCCTGTATCCTGTGGTGAGATGGCAGGGCGGCCTCCCCTGCCACCCATGAAGATCTACGGTGGAGCAGACATTGATTTATGGCCTGTGGCTTCTGCTTGCCTGATCAAGGTTCTGTGCCTGAAGAAGGCCGGGGACTCATGGGAAAAGGTAGCCCCGCTGCTGTAATTCAGTGCTGGGAGGATTGCAGCATTGGGGGGTGTCCCACGCCGGAGCAGCTCGGGAAGGGCTGCAGCCGTGGGAGGGAATCCAGTCAGAGAAAGCTAGTGACCCATGACGGAGCAGTGTGGGGAACGCTGCAGCCCGTGGGAGGAATTCACGTCGGAGAAAGTTTGTGGAGGACTGTCTCCTGTGAGAGGGGGACCACGATGGAGCAGGAGGAACAAGTTCCGGACACTCCCCTCACCGAAGATGAAGGAAGTGGCAGCGCTGACTGCACCCCCCATTCCCTGCCCCTGCGCCACTGGGGGAGGAGGTAGAGATATCGGGAGCAGAGCTGAGCTCGGGAAGAAGGGAGGGGTGGGGGGAAGGTGTTCTCAAGATGTGGCAATGCTTCTCACTGTCCTACTCTGTTATGTGTTGTTAGTGTCTGTAATAAATGTATGTTCTATTTTTTCTTCCCCTAACGAGTCTGCCTCTTGCTCATGATCATAAAGGGGATTTTTTCCCCATCCCAGTCCTATCTCCAACCCCAAGCCTGGCTCTCTGTCCCTTCTCATTGCCGGAGGGGAAGGGAGAGAGAGCTGCTGCATTGTGGTTGGCTACCAACCAGGCCTAAACCACGACAAAGTATCACTAAGCTCTGAACATGTTATTTTCCTTGTAGTTATTAGTGAAGGTGCTCTTTTTAAATAATCCCACACAAGAAATTAGACTTACTCTATATGCTCTGAATGATTTCCTAGTGAAATAGTGACAGCAAGTTATCCTGAATAATGACAGAAACAAATCAGTTTGATTTCTACCTGACAGAAATAATATAGCAGGATTAATTTTTTAGGTCTGGGAGGGAGCCAAAAACATTAGGAAATCTCCATCTTTATGATTTTACTCATGAAAGATTAATCTGATAGTAAACATTGATTGTGAGAAAGTTACACAGTTAGAAAGATGTATTGAACCAAGTATCTCAGATAATTCAGAAGGTACTACCCTTGGAAATATTTTCTGAGAACACTGATTAGTTTCTGCCAATCACAAAAGGCTTGAGAGTCTGAGCACTTCATCTGCCCTCAGGTGTTTCACACAGAAAGCAGAATGGACAAGGACATCACAAATTTGTTGGTGGCAAAGTGTAAGTGAACAAAACCCATAACCACCACAATAAGAAACTGACAGATACTCTGAACTAGCTTCTTTTTCTCTCCCTGCCCCTCTTCCCCCCATCCCTTCCCCCTCCCCGAAAACCTCTGTTTTTATTTCATGGCTGTATTTTGGAAGGGTACAAAAAAAAGCACTGTGGGTCATTAAATGCCACAGTGGTATTCACAAGAGCAGGAGAATTTTATCTGAATAAATTAGTAGGTGTCCCATTTACACAACTGTCTCATTGCATTCCTTTGCCAAGCTTTAGCTGTGGTCTCCAGTGTCAGCTTGGTTACCACATCTCTGCACCATCAAAACAGTGGACACACAATCACAGAACCACAGAATGGTTTGGGTTGGAAGGGACCTTGAAAACCATCTACTTCCAACCCCCCTGCCATGGGCAGGGACACCTTCCACCAGCCCAGGTTGCTCAAAGCCCCGTCCAACCTGGCCTTGAACCCTTCCAGGGAGGGGATGTCACCAAGATATGCTGCCATGCTCAACTAGATGATTTTAGAAAGGGCTTAATGTCATTACATTCCAGAAGCAGTAATTTATCTTCAAAAAATACTTATTTTTTCCTTATCTTCATTCATTTCTGCTCCTTCAATTACTAAACAGCAACCTTCTCAGTCATTTCACCTGTAGTACCTCACAGGCACTATACAGTCCACAAAAGAGTCCTTATGCATTCCCATGGAGTCCTATTTCTCTCCCTACATTTCTTCACTTAACAGATCAAAGGATGTTGGGCTCCCTAAGAAGTGTCCTAAATTATACGTTCAAATACAGAATCAAGGAAGCAGTGTCAAAACCAGTAAGAGCACCTCATATGAAATAAAAAAAAATCAGATAGCATGCACAGAATCTTTTAAAAAAGAAAATACTTGTCATACTGACAAATCATAACCAGAATCTATAGTACAAAAGCCATTTAGAATACATCCTGCAATTTTTGTTTTCAAATTACATGTAGCCCCTACCACTTTTCCTTCTTAAAACTTAATAAACAAACATATTACTGTATCCATCTATTTAAATTAAAATGTCTCAGTTCTTTGTTGTACAACTTTACTTCTAAATCTTTTATTACTGCTATTTTCATGCTGCGAGCATACAGCAAATAGTGAATGAAATTCTTTTTAAGTAGAAAATATTTTTAAGTTTTGATTTGCCTTTTTTTTGTTTTTTGTTTTTTGTTTTTTTTTTTTTTTTAAACTGAGACATTTTTGCTGAAGGTTTAGTTGTGCTGGGATTCAGAAGTTTGTGCACTGTTGCTCTGAAGCAAAGGAGAGTATTTTCCACTACTGACTTTAACAGTTCTGCAGATCAGTTTCACTTCCTGTTGCCATATAAGGATACATAACTTCACATTCTGCTATCAATGTCAAGGGGATTAAATACGTTTCTGAAAACCAGACTGAAAGCTTTTCCCAAAGCAGCAACACGACGTTCCCTTCAAGATACTCTACAATCACTAAAAACTCTGTAAACATCTCTTAAAATTCTTGTAATCTCTACAACAAAGTAACACAGTTAAATAAAAAAAAAAAAAAAAAAATCTTTGGGTAAGAACATGGATCACTGTGACTGACATCAGGGTCTTCCTTTTCCACTGTACCCACTACCTTATATCACATCTCAAGACTTCTGATATATTGCAGAAATGAATTGTCTATCTTCAGTCAGGTGTAATCTTCCTAAAATGCCAGTGGGAGCAAATCAACACACTTATACTCAATTACTTTTGTACTAATTTCATAACACTATTGTAGAGTTCATAACTCTATGTTGATAGTACTACAAAAACCAAGACATCTTCTCTTCTGGAAGCACAAGAATAGATTTTTGTATTGCATTAGGAGAGGTGGGGTAACTGTTTTTTCTGAACAACCAATTTGTTGGTTTGACTCACTATTTCAAAATGCTGAGAGGGAATGTGTAAATGAATACAGCTCACTATTTACATAAAAAGAAAAGACAACTGGAATACCATTAACATTTAAAGACATCCTACCAGCACACACAATTTTCACATATTACTATTATATCTGTTCATGTAACACTGAAAACTTAGAATTTAATTTATTTGGTTTATCACAGTTTAATTCACTGCCACAACAAAGACTTATATTTTCAAATCTTCCTCATACCAAAAGGGCTGGGAGATTAACTTTTTTTTTTTCCCACATGAAAGCTGGGGTTTAAAGACATTCTCTGATCACTAGGGGAATGCAGCACTGCATGCACAGGCTTTAAGCATCCTACAGCTTATTAAAC